TTATATTGGAGAGACAGGGGAAAAGGAATGTGGATAGAATTTTGTTCCTTTCTCAGTGTGGCTGCTTTTCTTCTCTAGGTCTGTACTCCACTGGATTTTTTATTGGAAACCAAGCACTGTAAATTTCATGTTATTGAATATTATATTTTGCTTTTTTCCTTTCAAGACTTGTCTGTTTTGTCCTGCCTAGAAGTTATTTGTGAATAAGTTTGATAATTTAGAAGCTTGTTTTTAGGTTGTTTAGGGCAGGTTTAGTATAGTCTTTATCTTAAGGTTAATTTAGCCCCACTTTTGTGGTGTTGGCCCTTTGGGTCTTACTTAATGCTTCATTATTTGATGAGTCCCTTTCCATCATGCTTGTTGGAATTATGACTCCTGACCCAGTGTGAGCTCTTGCCATTGTTCAGTTTATAGCTCCCCTATAATTATTCTTTCCTCTGTAGGTGCTCTTAGCACACTCTCCTGGAGTTTGACTCTAAGCATGATCATATTGGAATTTAATCAAGGACTAAAGGGAACCCATATACAGATTTTGGGAACTACTTTTTTCCTTTCCTTTCTATAGGGTACTGTGTCCTGCAAATTTTAGCTTACCATCAACTCTATAAAATATGATTTCTGTTTCCTCAACTCAGAAAGTTGGCCAGGTCTGTGGGGATTCTTTCTTCATATGTACTGTACTGTTAATTATCTTCAGGAAGAAAGTCTGAATGATTGTAGGCTCAATTTGTTTGTTTTATTTCTCTCAGAAATCATAGACTTCACTGCCCGTTGTCCTACTTTCTGAAAATAGTTGTTTCTTACATTTTGTGCAGTTTCCTCATTGGGTCAGTAAGTTAATTCTGAACTCTTATTCCTTCATGGCCCAAAGTGGAATTCCAAAACTTATTGTTATCTTCTTTCTTCTGTTTGTAAGAAGACTGTTTTCTCTTAATGCTTTCATTTATTGTTGAATTTCAACAATTTGATTATTAAGTTCTCTGGTGCAGTTTCTTTTGTGTTTATACTGTTTAGGAATCCCTGAGATTTTTGGATCTATGGACTTCTGGAAAATTTAACCATGAGTTTTTCTATTGTCCTGCCTTTCCTCCATTTACATGTGTGTTAGACTGATATTTCTCACAAGCCACTGATGTTTTGCCCATTTTTTTTTTACTTTTTTCCTCTGTATGCTTGATCTTTTTTCATAATTTTTATTTCTGTATGTTCATAATCTGCAGTATCTGATTTACTATTAAGTGAAGTTTTTCATTTCAGATACAGTTTTGTCTCTAGATATACCATTCATTTAGTATACTTTAAGACTTATTTTCTCTTCATTACATTCATGCTTTCCTTTTAATACTTAAACATTTATGATAGCTTTCTTAATAGCTCACTTTATCTGATTATTCAATCATCTTCATCTTTTTCTGGGTATATTTCTACTGATAATTTTTCTTCTGGTTATGGGTCACTGTTGTTTTCTTTGTACATATCTCATAATTTTTCTTGTAAGCTGGACATCTAGATTTAACTTCTAGATATTATTGTCTTTCTTTAAAGAATGTTTTAGCAGGCATTTAAATTACTTGTGATTGAACTTCATTCTTGCAGGCTATTTTAAACTTTCTTAGGGTGGATTTTTAGTAGCCTTTACTCTAAGGCTAATTTAGCCCTACTCTTAAAGCAGGACTTTTCTGGAATCTCTCCTAAATATTCCAGATGTTCATTAAGATCATTCTACTCTGGCTGGTTGGAGCTTAATCATCACCCTAGCCTTGCCTTGAGCCCTGTGTGAATATTTATGTTTATAGCTCACTAGTAGATGTGTTTCACTTGGTAAGTTTTCTTAATTCGGTTTTCTGGTATCTCATCCTACATGTGTCCATATTGGTATTCAACTAAAGATTTACAGGAATCTATACAGGTTTCTTGAACCTTTTTCTATCTATAGGTTTTTCCTTGCTAGTTCAGTGGCAGATAAATTCTAGCTTTTTAACTTTTACGGACTCTCAAATGCTATGGATATGGTCTCTGCTTGGGCTCTGCCTCCCGCACCAAGGCTCTGCAAGTTCTCCAAGAAAGCTGTTCTCTGTGGATGTGTCTTAATGCAGTGAGCTAATACTGTGGTGAACAGGCCTTGCAGTTAGCCTTTGAGAAGCATGTGTTAGAAGTTTCTGTGCTCTGCTTGGGATCTTACTGCTGTACCAAGGCTCTGAAAGTTCCCCCAGGAAAAAACGATGATTTTTTGGTGCACCTCAATTATTTTCCTTCTCTCAGAGATCACAGTCCTGTGTTTTCTTTTACCCAGAATGTATTTACTACCATTTACTCAAGCATTATCAGAATCAGAAGTAATCAATATATTTTATTTTTATTTGAATCAGTTTTCTAAATAAACTTTTAATTATGTAAGTTTAATTTAATATATATTTCCATTAAAACAATTATGAAAAAGTTAAAGTTTCCTTTTAGTAACTCTACTTTAGTGTTATCACCTTGGCCACATAGCCTTTTAGGTATTTTTTCTATCCATTTACTTATGTATGTTTCCATAGAAAAAATATAATACTGTTTGTTTTAGGTTGTATATGCTTTTCAGAGTATATTTATTTATCTTTGATGTTATTTTTTTAAAAAAAACAAAAATAAATGATATGTATCAGAGATGTATCTTATTAGTAACAATTCTAAATCACACACTTTTATACGTTATAGTACTGTTTTCAGTAAGAATGGAGATAGTCCTCAGTAGCTCATCTCCTGGACTTGCACAGATGCCTTCCATTTTTTCCAGGCCTCTCCAGCCACCCTGGGATATTGACTTGTTAATCTCTGCTCCAACTACTACTCTTGCCAGGAGGCAGACAGACTTCAACTCCACCTGAATAATTTTCCAGGGCCCTTTTTGCTTCTAGTTTCCACCACTTTGACATGGCCCATTCTTTTTGTTTTTCTCATCTATTATGTATTTAGATATGGTGTGAGGTTTCCTTCATTCATCTTTCAGAGGTTCCTCACAATTTGTAGTTCATTGAAGTCTATATTTTATAGTTTAGCTATTGATTTCTTTTTGTAACAAATATCTTTTATAGGTTCTTTGGTTTGTTAGGAGAGACTGGAATATGTAACTCGCTTTGCCATCTTGAAACCAATAATTAAATCCCTCTCTGCCTGAATCTTCTCTCTATCATTTTATGAGACTCTAGAATAAAATCTTTGTATGTTTACCCAACACTTTTGTGAGGAGACGTGTATTAGGGACAGTAAGATCACTGAGCTAGAGACTATTCTAGCATCTCCTCTTCCTTTCCTAACTTTGTATCCATTCAGTAATATCTTCGTATTGCCGTACATTTGCCTAACCCTCTTTGATTATTTTCATTATTGACAAGGAAGGTTTCATTTTGTTAACCAGAATTAAAGTTAATTTATCATGAATAAAATGACAATTTCACTTTGGACAACTATAAGCGCTTCCCAACAGATTTTCTATTTGCCATGGAAATATTTTCAACCTATGTTGTAGATTTTTAAAATATTAGAATTGCAAAAATTTCAAGCCTTTTAACAAAAGTTTTCTTTCACCATTATAATATTGAATTTGGTTTAGTACTGATTATTATTTATGATATACAACACTGAATATTGTTTTACAAAATAATGAAATGTTATCTAACATACAACAGTAGCCCAAGTCCCTTTCCCCTTATAATTTAATATATATTATGACTTTCTTGGGAGCCTGACAGAAATTAGATTAGGATAGCTTCTTTAAAGATCTTTATATATCTTTCCAATATATAAAGATATCATGCTGAAACTTTTTGTTTACACTAGGCCACCATTTAGTATCTTAATATATACTGGTGGAAAAGTAATGGAAGAGGCAAGGTTAAAGGGAAATTAAACCTAGAAATTCTAGTATGATCCTGGCTCCAAATCACAAACTAATGTAAATTATTTTGTGAAAGGGTCTTAAAGAGATTTCAGTCCCATTTAGTTCATATCAATGTGAATACAAACTTAGACCTCATTTTAATAATTTCCTTGTCATCTTGTTAACCTGATTATAGTAACTATTAGTACAACTGCTTCGTAAATCTAAAAAAGAATTGTGTTTTGGCAACTTGCAGAGCTACCTCTCTGTAAAATCTGATCCTAGAAAAGGGTGTATCTACAGGACCCTTACCCTTTCCCTGATTTTCTCCATCAACTCTTGTCTGTCATTTGACAGAGTGAAACATAGACCAAGAAGATTCAGGCAGAGAGAGATTTAATTATAGCAGTGTCTTACAGGTAAAGAAACTGTAAAGCTGTAAAGAAATTTTAAATCAGAGAAGCAAAGCAGGTGGCATAAGGTCACACAGGTAGTAAAAAACCACATATCTCCACTCTGGCCTGCCCTGCATGTTTTCTGACATGTTTGGGAAGTCCTATTGTACCAACTATATATATTGCATTTGTTTCTACAAACATACTTCACTAGGCCAAAAGTGTTTCTCCTTGGAATTTTTGTTTTTCTTATGTAGCTGAAGTTCATTTGTGGCTTTTCCAGCTGCCTGCACGATTGTTCCTTTCCCCCATCTTCTTGTATTTTTCTTGAGCATCTCTATAGAGAAAATAATAACTCCTTTATTCTGTCATTAATAGAATCCAGATAGAATCGAGATTGAAGGCTAGGGAAAGTTGCCATAAATGGTGCTGTTTTTTTCTCACACATGGAAAAAATAATAATGGTACCAGATTTGGCTCTTCAGTGAATTACTGCTAAATTTTAAATTTGATTTGATGAACTCAGTGAAATAAAGGGCTTTTAAAAAAATGCATGAATGGTTATTCCCTGAAAAAAAAATTTTTTTGTAGGTTTATTTTTTTGGGGGGGGTGGGAGTAAAGAGGATAATGTATATTTCCTTCTTAGCTAAAACTGAATTTATATTTTTGTGTTCTACTCAAATACAAAATTTGTGAAATTTTGAACTGGTAATGACCAATATCATACATTTTAACATAACAGGATCAATATGATTCAGCTAATGGTCAAAACATTTGTCATGTGTGGCACATGAATGCAGAAACGCTTCCGGAATGGGTGAACTGCATAATACAAAAAGTAAGTTCCTTAATTTCTAAGTGAAATTAGGAATATACTACTGGGAGAATGATTTGTCCTCATTTTAGAGCTATTTCCCTTGGATGCATTGTTTCAAGAGACATGAAAGGGTGTGTAACACTTGAGTACACTTATTGGCTTCTTCATTATTACTGGAGTGCTCTGAGTCCTTTCTGCCTCAGACTTTGCATTCAGTATTTCCCCTTTCTTGAATGCTTTTTACACAGATGATCACCTGTTCCCTCATTTCCAATGGTCTTTATGCACAGTGAGGTATTGCCTGGCCAACCTATCAACTGCCCCTCCTCCCTATTACCACTCCTCACACTTTCTTCCTTCTCTGCTTTATATACTTAAGTATATTTTATGTATACATGCATGTACACCCACAATAAGTACTTGTAAATATGCGTAAGTATATATGACATACATAAATATATATATTATTACACACACACATATCCACACAAACTCTCTAACACACACATATGGCTTACTGATTTTAACTGCCTAACTCCCCTACTAGAGTACTTTTTGAATGTTTAAAAAATGTTTTTATATTTTGTTCATTACTATATTCCCAGCACCTAGAAGAGTGCCTGTTGAGTGAGTAAAACATCCTATATGTATCATTCATGTATGTGCATGTGTATAAAATAAACTAGGTAAGTGTGACTCTTACTATCACAGTCAAAATCAAATAATGTAATTCTAAGGATTCTTAATGAAATATAAGAGCAAGAATTCACCTCATTAACAGTTTGGTATTGTCATTTCTCACAATCCAAAAACACCTAAGTATCAGAAAATTATAAGTAATATGTTTTTGGGAAAATATAGTTGCTTTCTCCTCTGACTGGCTTTTTTTTGTTAATGTTAAAAAATAACATTTGACAGCCATCACTTGTGTCCATTCTCACATTGTAATGCTTTCCTGGGAAATTACCAGTGTGCTGCGCATAAGTGTTCTAAACTTTGCAAAATGTGTTAAAACACTGCAGATGTTCCACCATCTCTGCTGAAAAGATAATTTTAAGTCAGTTCATTATTAATTTCCAATCTAAGTATAGAAAATATACTACCTGATGTATACAACCAGTAACTTTTGGTTGTATGTATATAGAAAGGCAGGAAGAGCTTTATTCTGTTAGTTGGGTAGAGTTCCCTCCCACAATGTTTGGTATGCATGAAGTGTACCAAAACAGACACTTTTCTGTGAGATTTTACTTGCAAATTAAGCTCTGTAGACTGACTTGCTTCCTAGTTCCATAGTGTGTATTTTGCTTTTCATTAGTTCACACTGTATCCATATTCAACCTATTACATAAGAGACTTATTCAGAATTCTTAGGAGGATTGTTAAGATGAGGCTGATGTGCAATATGTTATCATTCTAGAACTTTGGAGCTGCTTATCTCTATTTATTAGAGGCTTTTTTTCCATTTACTGTTCTGTCTACTAATCAGAAAACAGAAAGCTAGCCTTTTCTGTGGCATAGAAAATTTCATGTGGTCTGCTTTAAAAAAAAAATTATCTGGTTATTACTTTACAATGAGAGCATGGTCTTTATTTTCCTTTATTACCCGTAGGCCCAGTGGACAGTCAGAAAACTGAATTGCCCTTTCTGTGGGGCCCGTTTAGGGGGCTTTAATTTTGTCAGCACTCCAAAATGTTCCTGTGGCCAGCTTGCAGCTGTACATCTCTCCAAGTGCCGGACCGATTATCAGCCAACACGGGCAGACCAACTAATGAGACCATCGCTGAAATACTTGTCACATCCTAGAGTTCAGTCAGGTTGTGACAAGGAAACTCTGCTGACAGGTGGTGTCTCCAAAAACAGAAATCACAGGCTTTTAAACATGGCCCAAAATAATAGTGGTCCTGGAAGATTAACAGAAGCACTCTGCTTAGAGGTACAGTCAACATATTTTGAGATGAAGAACGGAAATCTGCTTTTTAAAGCATCAGATCCAAAATACCAGCCTTTTTTTCCCCAGCCTGTGAGTGGCAGATGCACTACAAGAGCTCTTCATAGAAAATCACATAGCTTGGATCTGAACATCAGTGAGAAACTGACTTTATTACCCACTTTATATGAAATACATAGTAAGACTGCTGCCTATCCCAGGCTAAATGAAACACAGCCTATTCACCTTTCGGGCTTGCCTTTAGAATCTAGTAAAAATACCTGCTCTTTTCACATTCCATCCAGTTTTGATCCTAATATGCTGCTGCAAAAATTTTCAGTGGCTCCCTGTGATACCCAGACACAAAGAGGAGGAGAATTTCAGTGTGGTCTGGAAGCTTCTGCAGTGTACTCTGACCATGCTAGTTCTAACAACCTGACTTTTCTGATGGACCTGCCCTCAGCTGGCAGGAGCATGCTGGAGGCCACCTCCTTGGACCAGGAAGAGCACCCCTCTCCTCTGGACCTACTGCATTCAGGCAACTTTTCACTGGGTGCTATTAATCAGAGGCTTAATAAAAGAGAAAGAAGCAAGTTGAACCTGAGAAGGAAACACCAAAGGCATGAAAGATGGCTGCAAAAGCAGGTAGTTTTTTTAAGAATTTAGAAAAAATTTCATATTGTAAATGTTGGTGCTTGGGGAAAAGAGCTAACTTAAAATACCTGTATCATAAAAATTTGGTTAAAGGTTTTTGAAATAACATTTTTTTCTGGGTGAACTTAATGATCATGCAGCTCTATTATAATTGACATGTTTAGATTCTGTCTCTGTACTCACACTTTAGTCAGTGTCCTTTGTGAGGTTTTTCCAAGTCTGCTAATATTTTATAGGAACATTAATCTCATGATTTTGAGACTTGATTGTCATATACATTTTAAATTCATTTATGTTAGGATTGTTTTGCGGTGATCTTATTGCAGGTTAAATTGAAACAAAAACATTTCTCTAAGTAAATCCAATCTAGTGATAAATTCACTTTCATCCCATTTAGTTTAAATGGATTTTTTTCAAGGAACCTTATTTAATTATGTACAAACATGATCCAGTTATGGTTAACTGTGCTGAATCGTGGAAAATTATCTAAATGATAATCAACCCTTACTTGAATTTTCTAGGAGAATGTGCTTCTCTGTGTTTTAAATCCCTATAACCCATAATGTGTTCAAGGATGAGGGGTATGAAGGGACCAAACAGTAAATGTTAGATGCTGATGAAACCAATGAAAGCCAGTGAATGAGGTGCTCATGAAAATTTGGGAGTTTGAGGACTAGTATATTTCTATATAAATTTTTCTTGAAATTGATAAAATTATCACTTGTTCATAATAGTATTATTAATCAGTATTTTGAATATTAAGAACCCCAGAACTAAGGTATGGAAAGCTGCAACTGTACAAAATAGTTCATTCTTTTGAAAACAATTAAGTGAGTTAATTATTGCTTATGATCCTAGTCATACTGAATAAAATAAAATTACTGCTTTGAATACTTCAATCAGGTTAGGTATTTTTCATCTTTTGGTTGGGTAGTATAACTATAGGTAATTGTTTATTATAATTTTGACTCTTTGCTGACAAGAGCATTCTAGTTTGTTTTTTTTTGCAAGTGATGGTATAATGTGGCATCAAAACATATAGGTTATAAAAAATGAATATTTGAGTACTATTTTATATACTTCATTATATACCCTTATGTTAATACTTATATATTATACCTCATATATTACATGAATATTACATAATATGTGATATAACATAGTTCATAGTTTAATTTATTGAAGCTGTAAAATTCAAAATTTTTATTGAAAATTTGACTTAAACCATAGATGTATTGGAGATGATCACATGCTAAGTGAATATTCATAAAGACTACTGTAAAAACGATGTGCAGGGCTCTAAAATAATTCTCTAACAAATAGAACTTTAAAAAAGTATGAAAGTTATACTTGCTCTTATTGTAAGTAAATGCAGGTAACATCTTTGCAATTTTAAAAATGTGTTTAATTCTTGGGCTGGGTACTTCTGAAAACCTCAGCTGTATTGTTAACCATTTTCCAGCATAGGAGTGCTCTATTTTACGGTTTAAAGCAAGGCAGTATCAAAATGTTTCTTTAAATGAAGTCACCTTTATTTATTCATATATATGTGGCTTAACCCACCTATGTAGCTAACTGATCAGAATGAGTGAGTCTTAGGCCTGTGACAGGTCAGCATAGGGAGTGACATGCAGGATGTTAGCAGGTTTGGTTGGTTGCCCAGGAGCTGCAGACAAACAAATGCCCAATGTCTCCTTAGCAAAGAAAATTTAAAAGCACATAAAAGCATAGAAATGATATGAGTTAGTGATGTGAGGGCACAGCATGCATGGTTAGAGCCAGAAAGAAGAATTTCTAATAGTCAATCTTGTTAATTCAAGCAAAAAGAAAAATCCTAAGAAGAGTTAATAATTGAGATAAATTCATGGGTCAGCTGTTCAGCTCATTATGTTTAGTAAAAATTAGTTAATTCTGTAAACATTACAAATACCTGTTTGGTATGCCATGCCTTTCAGTAGTGACTTTTAAAAAAAGCTTAAAATAATTGGTTGGGAAATCTAGATTTCTAACTTTCTTTTGATCATTTCAATGTTTTTTTTTTTTTTTTTGCGTGCAAACTAGACATCTTTCTGTGGCAGATACCATGATAGAAAATGGTTAATGATACTACCTTTAGAAAGTTAAATATTTGAAGCTTAGGGATGTAAATGAAATTAATATTAAAGCAGAAACTACACCCAGTTTTCAGTAATTTTGTTCAGCAAACATTAATTATCTACTTTGATCAAACAGTGCTGAGCAAACCTTTTTTATTCAGCATGGCTTTTTTTAATGGAATATGGATCTCTTCTTAGCATACAGCTCTATGATTTTTAAACACATGTGTAGATTCATATCACAACCACCACAGTGGGGATACATAACAGCTTCACCACCCCAAGAGTCTCCCTTATACCTTTATAATTATGCCTTGATTGTATCTTTATAAAAATTACAATCTTGTCCCATCCCTAACCCTGAAAACAACTGATCTAGTACCCATCACTTTGTTTTTTTGATGTTATAAAATAATTATGTATTGTTATAAAATTAGAATCATATGGTGTATTACCTTTTGAGACTGACTCTTTTAGTCAGCACAATTGCCTGTGCTATTAATCCAAGTTTATTTCTTTTTTATTGCTCAATAGTATTTCATTGTATGAATGAACCGTAGTTTATCCATTCACCTGTTGAGAACAGGTGGGTTGTTCTTGGTTTTGGCAATTATGAATAGAGCTGATAAACATAAAGATTTTTGTGTGAACCTAAGTTTTCATTTCTCTAGGGTAAATACCCAGGAGTGAGATTGCTGGATCGTATGGTAAGTATAAGTATGTACTTAACTTTATAAGAAACTGTCAAACTATTTTCCAGAATGTCTATGCCATTTTGCATTCCAGGCAGTAATGTGTGAGCATTCCATATGCTATGCATCCTCGCATATGCATCATTTCCCTAATGATGTTGAAAATTTTTCTATTTTGCCATTTGTATATACTCTACAGTGAAGTGTCTGTTCAGATCTTTAGATCAATTTTTAATTGGGTTGTTTTCTTTGTTTTGAGTTGTAACAGTTTTTTATGTATTTTGGATATAAGTCCTTCATTGGATATGTGATTTGTAAGGATTTTCTCCCAGTCTGTAGCTTGTCCTTTTATTGTCTTAATATCTTTTCTTACAAACATGTTTAATTTTGATGAATTCCAGTTTCTCAATTTTTTTTTTCTTAACGATTGTGCTTTTGATGTCATATCTAAGAACTCTTTGTCTAACACTAGGTTATGAAGATTTCTTTCTGTGGTTTCTTGTAAAAGTTTTGTAGTTTTGTTTTACATGGGGAATTATAGTTCATTTTGAGCTTGTTTTTTTAAATAAGTGTGAGGTGTAGGTTGAGGTCCTTGTTTTGCATAGAGATGCTAGGACCACTTGTTGAAAATGTTCTTTCTCCAATGAAATGCTTTTGCAGATTCATCAAAAATAATTTGGCTGCATGGGTCTTTTTCTGGACTCTATTCTGTTCAGTTCATTTTGTGTGTCTCCCTTTGCCAACAGCCCTTTTTGTTGATTATTGTAGACTTACAGTAAGCCATGCAATAGAGTACTGTGATTCTTCCAACTTTATTGTTCTTTTTTAAGAATTGTTTTAGTTATTCTAGTCTCCTTGCCTTTCCATGTAAAACTCAAAATCAGTGCATTTTTATTTACAAAAAACCCTGTTGGGATTTTGATTGTAATTATATTAAATCTAAAGATGAATTTGAGGAGAACTGAAATCTTTGCTGTGTTGATTTTTCCAGTGTCTTGGTCTGGTGTTGATATCAAGTTAATGATGGCTTATAAAATGAATTAGAAAGTATTCTTTCCTCAACTGTTTTCTGGAAAATATTATGAAGAATTGATGTTATTTTTTTCCCTCAATATTTGGCATGCAACTATCTGGGCTAAGAGCTGTCTTTTTTGGAAGGTTTTTAACTATGAGTTCAGTTTTTTAAATAGTTACAGGACAAATCAGGTTATCTATCCATATTGGGTAAATTTTGGTAGTTTGTTGTTTTAAATGAATTATCTCAGTTGAAATTATGTATGTAGCATTGTTCATAGTATTCCTTCATTGTCCTTTTAATGTCTGTTGGGTTGTAATAATATCCCCTTTTCAATCCTGATAATAGAAATTTGTGTTTGTTTTTTTTTAAGCTTTTCTAGATGTTTATCAGTTTTCCTGATCTTTTCAAAGAACCAGCTTTTAGTTTCAATTATTTTTCTCTATTGTTTTCTATTTTTGAAGTCATTGATTTCTGCTCTCACTTTACTTCCTTTTGCTTGCTTTAACTTTATTCTGCTTTCTTTGACTTCATTTTCTTTTTTTCTTCTAAAATTTTTTATGGCAGAAACTTATATTACTATTTTGAAATCTTTCTTTTTCTCATCAAAGCATTTAATGCTATAAATTTCCCTTTAATTACTGCATTAGCTACATTCTATGACTTTTATGTTGTATTTTATTTTGATTCAGTTCAGACTATTTTCTAATTTCCTTTGAGACTTGCTTTGAGCCACCTAGTTTGTCAAAGTGATTAGTATTACCTTGAAAAAGCTGAAATACCAGAATTTTGTGGAAATCAATAAAAAATTTCATCCTAGGGCAAAATATTTCTGCTTCTGAATTGAGAGAAAAAGTAAAGCTGTTACTAGCGTAGCTGCATGATATTTTAAAGAATTCTGTTAAATGGTATTTCATTCTATTGTATTTGTATTTCTTAACCTTGGGTCTATTTAATATGAAAAAAAGAAAATGTCTCTTTAAAGCTCACAGGAAGCTGTTGTGAAAAGAGTTTTTCTCATGTTTCTGTGGAGTGTTGTGCATGGGAATATAAGGTAATCAACCAAATATCATGGTTTATAATAAATCACTGGACCAACTACAGTGATTATATTACATTGTGCTCAGTGAACTAAATGACTTTTAAGACTACTTGTATTATTAACAAGGGTGTGATATAGGGAGAATAGAAGCAAGTAAGTTATATTAAAGACCTGCTTATTCAGGTTTATGTAGGAAAGATACAGTTTTCACAAAGGTACAAAGCTTCATTTTGCATGTAAGAATGATTTGCACATAGGAATCATTATGAATTTTTCACAGATTTTAAAGGAGTCCAATTAATCTTTTATCACTTCATTCATAATCTTCAAATCCTGCACAAATCATATTCCCAATACATATAAATGGTTGTCTTCTCTACTTCATGCCATTATTGTTTCAGTTTAAGTTTGTCACTCTCTTCAGTTTATTATATTTTATTTCAGTAAATTTATTTTTATTGTATTTCATTAGCATGTAAATTAATGTAAAAATATTTAGGAATTGCTAAATAGATTGATACTTGTAATTTACTTCTACTTTCCAGGAAATCACCATATTGTAAAATAGTAAGATATAAATATGCAGTCAGTTTAAGTGAACATAACTAAATAACATTGTTTACCTGCCATTTCAATTGATTTCAAAATGTAGATAAATCAGTGTGGGTGGATAAAATTGCATAGAACTGGCAATGCCTTTACCTTAAGTAATTACATGGATCTAAGTTTTCTAATGCTAAGCATAATACTCTATGTATAAGCAGAAATTTTTTTAAATGAAAGGGTTTTTTTATTATAGAAGTTTTATGTTTATAGAAAAGTTGTGAAGCTAATAGAGTTCCCATATGCCCACACCCAATTTCCCCTATTATTACCTTACATTAGTATGGTATATTTGTTATAATATTGATATATTACTATTAATTAAAATTTATACTTTATTTAGATTTCCTTAGTTTTTACCTAATGTTCTTTTTCTGTTCCAGGACACCATTTTATTTAGTTGTCATATCTCATTAGGTTCCTCTTAGCTGTGACAGTTTCTCAGACTTTCCCTGTTTTTGATGACATTGGCAGTTTTAAAGAATGCTGTCTAGGTATTTTGTAAAATGTACCTTAATTAAGGTTGTCTGATGCTTTTCTCATGATTAGACTGGGGTTATGGGTTGTGTGTCATGGGTAACAAATTACTACAAACATAGTGGCTTAAAACAACACAGATTTCTATTATAGTTCTGAAGGTCACAGTGTGGAAATGGGTGTTTAGAACTAAAATCCAGATTTTGGCAGGGCTGCATTCCTTTTGGAGGCTCTTACATGTTCCTTGCCTTTTCTAGGTTCTAGGGTTTATCATTCTTTGGCTTGTGGGCTCTTTCCAGCAATGGCACCAGTCCAATCTCTGCTTCATTTGTCACCTCTTCTCTTTGACCTATTTAAGTACCCTATGATTACATTAGGCCCACCTAGAATATCCAAAGTAATCTTTCCATTTTAAGGTCCTTAACTTAATCACAATTGCAAAGTCCCTTTTGCTATTTATATTCATAAATTAGGGATTAGAACATAGACATCTTTGGGGAGCCATTATTCTGTCTACCTATATCTTAACTATATGCTAGATATTTTCTGAGTTCTTTACTTCATTTAATCCTGCACCATATTTTTGAGGTAAGTTCTATTATTATCACCATTTTATGGATGGAGAAACTGAGGGTCAGTGAGTTCAAATAACTTACCTAGACCCACAGACCTCGTATGTGACAGAGTCCATGCTGTTAACTAGTACACCACAGCGTCTCAAAAAGGTTTTTTACTCACATACTTTACCATTCTTTGATGATTTAGAAAACATTTTATTATCATATACTATTATTCTTAATTTATCCTTTTCTTCATTTAACTAATGTCTGTTGGGTAATTCACTCTTTGCAAGAAATCATGCTAAGTATTGAAGACACAGCAATGAATGAAATATCCCTCTCCCTAGGGACCTTTGAGTGGATGGGGAACACACATGAAAACATCAGTGATCCTTTTCTTATGCAGAAATGCCAAGTCATAGTGAATTTAGGCCAATAGTTTAATTTGTCTAGGATTGCTTTGGTCAATGCTCTGAGATGCAACTGGGAATCACAGAGCAGTCACAAAGAAGCAAGCTTGATTGGGTGCAGGTAGGAAGATTGATAGCAGAGAAGAGAGGAGAAATGGTCAGGTGATGAGGAACTTTGATGCAGTGGTCAGAAACTTATGTTTGATAATGAGAGTGCTATGTAGCTGCTGAAGAGTTCTCAATAGTTCCAAGCTAGGTTCATATAGCAGCTTAGTCAAAAGTTGCTGAGTGGATGAATTGAACAAATAGATGAGGTACCCAAGTCTCAGGCACGAAAAATGGTTTAAGGGGTAGAGGCTGACAGTGATTCTTACCTTGGCTGGAAGATGGAATCCTCTCATTAACTTTTAGAAATGCGATTGCCTGGGCTTTATCAAGTTATACTTAGTTATTCGAGACTAGACATCACTATGTGTTTGTGAATATTTAAATATATATATATTTAAATTTTCAAGTGATTCCAATGTGTAGTCAGGATTGAGAACTATTGGAAAGAAAAGAGATCAACAAAAAGGAATTCAGAGTGGCTTAGAAGTGAGCTGGTAGAGTCCTTGACAAAGGACTTATTGACAAAAACAATGAGAATTTATTCTGGTGGATGTTGCAGAGGAAGGGCAGCTGGCTAGAGCCAAGCTGAGGAGGACTTAGATGAACCACACTGGAGAAGACAAGATACTCTGATCTCATACTTTCTGACACCTAGTACAGCTCCTGGCATGTAGTAAAAATATAAATGCTTATGTCCAAGAAGCATTTAGTATATTCAGGTAGATTTTCTTAGCCTGGTACAAAGAGAATGAGAGGTTTGACTAGGTGCAGTGGGGAGGGCAGGAATGGAATGGGGAGGT